ATATTATGTAGATGTATCGTCACTACATCTATACAGACATGAAAGAACGATCTTTAATCACGAGCAAACAGTTAATACACAAATTAATCAACAAATGAGAACACTGACCTATTTGCATTTAAGCACGAAATCCAGCCGATCTAAATACGAGAGGATCCGCCGAATGTGGCAAAGATCCCGAAACGCAAAAGAAAGAAAAGGGATACTCATCGCCCTGCGCTCTGATGAAGGCGTTAGGTCATCCCAGCCATCGACAGTAGGAGGCGGCCAGGCGGCGGCCCCGCTCTCGGCCGAAGCCCCGTCTCTCGCATAATAATATTCAAAGGCAGAATTAAAGTCGCCAATTAGAGCGCACTTGAGGCAGGCGGCGGGGCGGGGGCGGGGCGCGCATGGGCTGTAAATACGACCATCGAAAGCGCACGGCCCCGCAGCCTCCCTTTGTAGAATTATCCGAGCGGCAGAGAACCCTCTCCCCGCCACGCCACGCCACGCCGTCGCCTCCGCCTGCTCTGCTCCATGCCGTCCGTCTCCTTCCAGCGCCCCTGCGTCCGCCCACGCAGCCGACACGCCCTCTGCGCTCCGCCCACGCTTCCTGCTATAGCCTTCTCGTCTCCCCGCCTCCTCTGCCCACGCCATCGCTTCCTCCTCTACTCCGCCATCCACCTCCACCTCCTCATCTCCTCCTCCACAGCCGCTCACCGCCCCTCCCACCAACCCCTCTTGCTTTTGTCACCTCAGGTTCCCTTCTCTGCCCGCGCCTATTCCTTCTCCACTGCCCCATCGTCACCTCCGCCCCCACACCGCCTCGCCCCTGCATTTCCCCTAACCGCCTCCGTTGAAGTTCTGATCTTCAGCTTCCCTCTACACCACCCCCACTTCCTCTTCTGCTTCAACTGGCTCGGTCACAGACCCCGTCCAAAATTGCCTCCCAGAGTAGTCTTTTCGTCTCTATGACTCTGAATGGTCACTTTCTTTCTCTTTGCAATGATTCCGCTGCATAAAGCTTCTCATTTCAATTCCCTCTTATTCCTGGCTCTTTTAATAATTGTACCATTTATTAATTCTTTATTGAAACATCTCCTAAAATCTTTATACTATTACAATTTTACATGTCTATAGCTACTCTTTGCGAAGAATTTGAGGCTGATGCGCAATATGAAATAGGTTTTCTTTTTCGCCAGACTCACGTATTACATTTAGCCCTTCGGTAACTTAAAATTCTACTCTCACTTATTTTTCACAGCATATTTATTTAGTAAATTGCTATTATTTCTATTTGTTACTTGTATTGTGTCAGCACATTTGCTTATGTTATGGCAGCTAATCACATTATCTTCGTGTAGTATAAAATACTATGCGCCCTCTTTATTCGTCGTCTATCGCCGGACTTAAGACTCTTTGGTCATTTACTCTACCATCTGTAGCCTTTGGCACCGTTTCATCCCGAGCCCTTGACGCTGCCGCTGATTTACAATCTACCCTCCAGATCCCGCGCCCGTCCTCTGTTTTCCTCGCCCCCCCTGCCGTCCACTTACGCCTCTGAACGCTCCATCATCGTTGCCGTTACCACCTCCGCTATCGCCCCCTCGCCCCCAATTACAATTGAGGCGAGCGTCACCGCCGTCGCTTGTAACTCAGGCGACATTATCCCCGCCCCGCCCGCGCCGCCCCCGCCCGCCCCGCCGGGCCTTCCGCCTGCAGCCTCGGGCGTGCCCGCCGCTCGACGAGAGGGCGCGAGAGGCCGCCGTTATGACGGTCCATCTATTTGCCCGTCACTTCCTCCGCGCGTCCGCTCCCGCTCGCGCTCCCGCTCCTCATATTCTCCGCTTGCGGCGCTCTCTCGCCCCCGCCCCCGCCCCCGCCGGCCTGCGCGAGGACACACAAATCCCGGGCCCGAGATTCGGCGGGCGGCGAGCGCTTGGCGACTAAATTATTCATACGAGGCCGGCCCTCGCCCGCCCACCGCCTCCAATTTGGGCGGACGCGGCGCCGATACGCGCTGCCACGGGTCGCCCCACGGGGAGTGGGCGGCCGAGACGCGGAGAGGGGAGCAAGTCCGGAACTATGTGGAATGCAGAGAAGAACGGTTTGGGAGACCAGTAGAGAATTTGAGCGGAAAGTGTAAGAAAGAGGTAGGCCAAGGAACGCAGCGAGGGGAAACCTCTGAGTGTAACAAGATGGCAAATGGAGAACAATGAAGATAGTTGTCGAAGTGGAAGAAAGAATTCCAAAGGAGATGAATGTTTCCTACTTTTTAAAGAATACATGGAAATAATTCAAGCACACTTTTTGGAGGCTCATATAAAAGGAGTACGAGTATGCAAGACTTGGAGTGTATCGAATAAGAAAGGAAATATTTCAGTAGAATGTATTGATATGAAACAGATATCTAAATGAAGCCAGGCGCAAGCAATTCTTGTAATACAAATCTAATTTAAACATGTACTGAATGAAGCATGCGTATGTACGAACATGAACGAGGAAAAGTAAGACATGCGAATTACTAAATTTAGGGTCGAGTTACGTTGAGCAAATCTATGAAAGCTCATAAGCTACAGTCTATCAGCCCAAGCGAGGAGAGGGAAGGAAGGTGTACATCACGGCCTGGCGTGGCGGAGTTGAAAGGGGGATGGGGCAACGCAACGCGTAGAGACGCGCAACAGACCCAGGGCGGACAGGCCGAGTCGGGTCACAGGCTGTGGAATGCTGCGTGCAGGGCGGAGGCTGGGCAGCATCGGGGGCGGGGTATGTGACCCGCACAGCGCCGCGCCGCCCTTTGAACCTGCGAAAAGCCTTCGGAACGCACGGCGCGCCCCTGCTTCGGCCTGCGACGATCGCATTTGGGCGGACGAGGGGCAGAATTGGGTTGGAGGATCGTTCTAGAACGAAACTTGCTGTGTTGTGGACATGCTTAGGTTTGTAAAGGTCTGAAAAGATCCCTTGTACTATTACGTCCGTTTTCTAAGTAAAACACAATAAAACAACGATTAGGCACACAATTAAACTCTTCTTAATGAATCTCAACATTAAGCCTAACACATATCTAACATTATGAATGTTTTAATTTTTATAAATTAATTTGTTACAATAGATAGAAGCCTTATTGACGAGATGATTTGAGGTAATCATAAAGTATCGCAATATTTTAATGAAAGGCAGGATTTTATGTGTTACAACATCTCAATTATGCGCTTCCTTCGAATAACATACGCCTACGAGTGGAAAGTATCTCTACATAGGGCCATAAAAGCAAGCATAGACGCAGTAGGGAAACGTTATTCCGTCTTTTGTAGATAATTCACGTTTTGGTTACATAAGTTATTTTTATTGGTTTACTCTATTTTCCTCTCAATTCGAGTAAGCAATCAGATATACGCAAATCGTTTGTACCAAAAATGATTTTTTTATTTCATATCTTAACCAAAAAGTACATAATAAAAATGAGATAATAAAAAAGATCATATCTGAAATATGTATTATCTTTTCTCTGCCGCATGATGTTCAAGGTAAATATCATGTGTATTCAACCAAAGTGTACATTCTATTGTATATTCCATTCACGAAACATCTGTGAAATCAGATGGTGAATTTTCAAACGCCATGGGAAAGAGAAAACCAAAACAAAGGAGTGCAGAAGTGCGAAGTGATTTCTTGTCGCTTCTTTGCCACTCCGTCTGCAGCGAGGGAATGTAGTTAAGCAGTTCCATAACGCGCTGAAAAAGGAAACAAAACTTCCGCGGAAGGCAATAACTCCTCTGACTGGATGTTTATTCATGACTACTAAAATCAGAGAATAATAGGCGTGAAAGAAAATTTTCCTCGTCGATTTTCGGCTTGTATTCAAATCTCCTTAAAGCGAATCTAATTGCGGGAGTTGTCTGAAATAAAGACGCCGGAGAATACTTTTGACGGAGAACACGTAATTACGGATCATGGTTACAACTTTTTCGTTTAGTGACTGGAAGGTCTCAAAAAGAAAGTAAAAAATATGGATTTGGGAAGAAATTGAATTTTATCTTCAAGAAACCTCTTTCTTTGTAAAAACAAATAATAAACATTTACGAACAGTTGTACATTTAGAGTTAAAACGTAATTCTCCGTTAAAAACTCGGCTTAAAGCCCAGTGGTCATTTGTACAAATGATGATAAAAGCTGAACATTGTTTAAATTGAAGCCTAAATACAACTGACGAACTAGAGTTTAAACGGATTTTTGTCGATTCTTATGGAAACATAACCTTGAAGTAGTAGTCTGGTGTTGAACTATGTATAAGAAGCTAATACGGAAAGTGCACGATTAACTGATGCTGAGGATTTTGAAGAATTGGTTCTCAAATACGTGTTTCCGAGAGAGCCAATATAGTGTGCCCTCGTCGAAATCATTTCGAAATATGGAGAGAAAACGTTTTTTTGACAGTTTTCGACTATCCAAAACCTGCATGTCAATTGTTCTAGAGAAGATTCTCATTTAATATGATGTAGGCCTCTGAAACGGCTCTTTTAACTTTGATGGCGGATAACTTATAAAAGTACAAAAATAACGCATTTGTCTGTTATAGAAATAATTGTTGCCATAATATTAATTGAAAATAAATGTTGAATAAATTTAAAATTGTCTTGTAAGATACTGTTTCTTTTATCGAAAGAATTGAAAACGTGTAGTAAGTGGTATCAACAAGAGTAGAGAGATGAGTTCAGCTTTATAATTCTTTTCTCAAAGCACAAACATCGAAAGCACCGGAGTTCATTTTATCTCCACAAGAGAAATATGTATGACAGCATTTTGTGTTTAACAACTTACAATAATTGTCCTGTTTCTATACACCATCCTGTTTCCAACACCATATAATTTGCTAGATATTGAAACCACCAATTGATAATATTAATATTATGTAAATATATATCCATATTAATTACAATTTGTCAGACTCATTAATATTTGAAATAAACCATATGTGAAAAGATCATTAATTAATTTGTTTTTCTTTGTTTACAGGTGAGAGGCATTCGATCACAATGTGGAACTGACACGATTATACAACCGGTGAGTTTTGAATTGTGCCAGAGTATATTTTTTCTTTAATCTGTAAACAACGTCTCGTCGGATCGCCATCTACATTTAATCAGAGACAGACGTTTCGAAACAATGAAGGATGGAAAGAATAAAAATTCGTTATTCACAATTATTCACCTATATACCTAATTAAATTGCACCACCAAAATAGTAACAATATCGTTTTAAGATTGGCAATAAAATATTTTGTATCACGTTTCTTGAATATGAAAAAAATAAACAATTAGTATGTTACAAACTTTACTTACTTTGCTAATTCACAAAGATCATTCTAAATAATAACACATCGAACAGCGGCCACATCAATAATATCCATCTTGAGGCAATTTACGTATAAATGTCCAAATATACAAATAAAAATGGTAATGAGCTTAATCGTTTGTATTGCATCGCACAAAATGAATAACTGAACACAAAAATAGGACATACGGAAAAGAGAAAATCCCCAAAACTATTTGTTCCTTGTTTAAGATCACTTTTCAACCGCTAAGATCATACAGCTACCACTGTAAGTAACTTTCGTTTTGTGACTTTAGGAATACCGGTAGCAGAACTCGCATACTTATAATCGGACACACACAAGCATCTTTGCGGCGGGATTCGAACCTACAAACCCACAGCCTTTGCACTCTTGTCTATTCAGGGCGGCCCCCATAATACTCCCGGCATTGCAGTGACATCAGTTGATTCCCTGAGCCAACGTTGCCGTTTGTCAGCATGGAAAATATTCTTAATTAGTACTGTGGAACAGTAGATGTTCTGCAAAGGTTATCTTAACCCCACAACATTTAGTCGTCAAGTTTTCCCTTCATTGTCTTGATTAGAATTCTTCAGCAGATAACCCCCACCACATCAAAGTAGAAGAGTCTAAAAAAGTGTCCGCTGTGTATATTTTCAAGTTAGGCAACTTAACCACACCAACATTTACCTACTTTAAAAACGTAAATGAAATTTACAATTGATGACATAAACACAAGCACGAAACATTTGGATTCTATGAGTTTCATGTAACTATTTTGCACTCAGCACAGATTATATGAACATTGCTACTGAATGTTCCTTATTTTCTCATGAATATCTGAATTGACGTCGGCGTACAAAACGTATACAGTACATTGTACAAACACTTTACGTAAACATATACCTATACGTTACATACATTATAATTACATCTCTCTAAAGTCTCCGGGAATGGCCGGGAGGGGTGGCTCAGCTCATCAACTGATGCCACTGCAGCGCCAGTGATCGGGAGGTGCTAGGTTCGAGTCCCGATTGGGGCAGGATTTTCAACATCTGATAGATACCTCTGTCGCTGCCGGGGGGAGAATTCTAGCGACCGTCTTCGCTGGTCGATAGTTTCTTGTGGTTTCTCCGATCAACACCAGATGCATGTCGGAGCAACTACCCCTTACACACACTTTCTGTTACATGTACTAGACTACCACATATGTCGGAGGGCCGGTCGAGAGCTTAGAGCTTGTCCCGGCGGCGGCGGTGACCGCTGGTGGGAGATAACTGGTCTGGGAATACCCCGCTAGCCGATGTTAGGTTTGCGCCGGATATCACCATAGATCAGGGGAAGATCACCGCCAACTCCCGAGCGCACTACACTTACGGGACTAATAAGGAACCTTACTGGCGGAGCTCGCAACCATCAATCAAACAAAATATATATTATGATGAGTTCTGGAGGGCAAATATATTGTATCTGACTGCGCCGCTTGTAGTGACCGAGTTTTGCATTATCTTTCAAATGTAAAGAGAGATTGCTAAGTTTCCTTTTTATGGGTTTTGTTGTTTGTCATTTTTCATATGAGGTAATTTACATGACGTGTGGTTTCTTGAGTGACTAGTCGTTTAATTTCTTTTCGAGAAGAAAAATACGTTCTGAACACATGTTTGCATATGTTTAGAACGAATGTTTATTTTAAGAGATTAATTAATATAGCAGACATGAAAATAAAAGACAAGCTAATAGAAAATATAAATTAAGAAATCCGATTTTTCATATAATAATTACACACTAAAATGTAAAATATTATTCATTGCTACAAAGTCTTACACTATTCAACTGTTTTCAACTGCATTTTTTTAATTGCACGAGAACTAACTACACATTGAAGTTCTGTAATAATTTTAAAACCTGATTGCGTATTATCGCAGAGAGAGAAATCGAGAAATGAGATAAGCCCGTGGAGATGTTTCAAATAATTTTTTTTCTTATTCTATTTTCCCAATTACATTTTAGCCAGGGATCCTCCTCACTTTCTCCCAGTCAATGTTTGACGGTCACTTGACTCGTCAATATGTTTTTTTACGCTCACGACGCGATCAATGTAAAGTAGAGCACGCCATATCCGGATGGGCCGCGTAATTTAGCTTATATCTCAATTTTGCGGAGCCCATGCTGCGCCTCTCGCAGGAGGTAATCCTTTGATTTCCTCGCTGCCTCTCGGGCGGCGCATTCTGTTTCCGGAGTAATTACTGTTTTGAAACTGATGTTTGCGCATGTACAATACGCCTGTCCTAATATTTGGAAGGTGGAGTGAAGTGGACCGGAACGTCAGGCGAGGCGCAGTGCGCGTGGCATGGCGTGGAGTGACGTGGCGGCGCGAGGCGGGGCGGGGCGGAGCATGGCGGGGTGGGGTGAGGCGTTGCGGTGCATGGCGGGGCATGATGGAGGAGTGGCGGACGGAGCGTGAAGGGGGTGGATGGATGTTCGACATGGCTAGCAGTGGCAGGATCAAACGCGGGTATGACGAGCGGGCGGTTGGGGCGGGGTGCGGTGTGCAGGGTGCGCCGGGAAGTGCGCGGAGCGTGGCGCGGAGGCGTTGCAGTGCCGGGGGCGTTGCGGTACATGAAAGGCATGTGAAGCTGGACGACGGGCTGTGAAGGGGTGGAGGGTGCGGAGCATGGCTAGTAGTGCAGGACAAGCGGGTGTGGCGGGGCTGGCGGGTTTGGCGGCGCGGGGCGGCAGTACCCCGAGAGGGGCGAGGCGGAGCGTGGCGGGGCGTGGCGAGGAGTGGCAGGGCATATCAGCACGTGGTGGGGCGTGGCGAGAGGTAGAGTCGCGGGGTGGCGGGGAGCAGTGAGGAGGCATCTGCTGCCGTGAGGCGGCAGTGGGCAGAGCTGCGGTGACGGCGACGAGATTGGGTTGTACACAGACATAGCTGTTCCAGCAGTAGAGGCAGGCACTTTGCTTCTCTTCTGTCAACTCCTTCACTGACATTTCGGCTCGCACTGAACTGCTCCTTTTAGGCGTTGCGCCTCCATTACATAGGCTCTGAACAAGATTACTACAGTTAACTAACGAAAATAGCACCAAAAATTCAAAAGCTAGAAATCGTGCACATTTCCCAATATATATTTACTGATACTACAGTCCTTTTAGGGCAACACTACGTAAACTGGACTCAAGATATTCTTCCATCACTGAAAGTGGAAGCGTGATTGTTCACAAAGGAATTAAAAAAAGGTTGTGATCGAAGTAAATACGGCATTGAAAGAACAAAATCTGCTCTGCCCGGACTGCTCTCCATCCAAAGTGTATACTCGAAGGCCTTGAAATGATGAAATTCAAAAAAGATGACGTCTAAAATACTAAAAGAAAGGTTAAGTGAAGAGGTTTAATTCATGTTTTGAGGTTTATGGAGAGTTGATCCGCAGGAGGCGAGCAATGAGCTTGTAAAATTACAGAAATTTCGGTAAAGCCAAAAGGATGATGGCTGATAATGGCAGGATATTTCAACCCTGCACTGTGCAGGATAACTATTGATGGTACCTTGCTCTAGATTCAAAACTGAAACATTTTATCTACCACTTTTGAAATTGTACGCATTTGAATATACCGTTACATAAGACATATGATGAGGTCATTTTAAATTTTTATTTACCAATTGAATTTGTTATGGAACAAGAAATTGCAGAAAACCCGTTAAAAGAGTCACTAGAAGAGTTAGATTCGTCTACTCCCCCGGCAAATGAAATAGATTAAATTAAAACTTCGAAATGTAATGATCATAATTACATTTATATAATTTACACCAACGGAATGCTAACATTTTATTTTGGTTTACTTATGGTTTTATTTTTTGTGGTCACAACTGTTCTGAATTTGAAGATACGTCAGATTAAATTTCTTTATTTTAGCTATGTTGCACTTTGATTCTTAATGTAAAGGATTGATCATTTTGAAGTTGGGAAGATAGGGCAAAACGAGGAATTGTACCCACATTCTTGAGGACGAAGTAAAGTGTTGGTTGTTACCTCTTAATTTTGATGGAGAACGCTGTGCGGGATAATAGCTAACTGTTTATGAACTCATCTCCGGCCTAAAGAAAAATTTTGAGAGTATTTGAATTAGAATTGCGTTTTGCATATTAGAAAATTTCTCATATGCAATGAAAGAATTATATGTGAAAACAAATGTGAAATGTTAAGCTGAGCAAATTCGAGGGTAGGAGCCATGCTCAAGAACCTGTACTTTCTACATTATTACTGTCACCGCTTGCGACTGATGGGAGCATACGTTGAAAGTATTTTATTGCTTGAATCTTTGTGATTCCTTTATAATAGGTTTTAATTTAACTTTTATATCTTTTTTACCTAATGAAATATTTTTATAGTTTTTATTTATTGTATTTTCCAATTGACCTATTTTTTTTTAAACTGACATGTAATTGTGATTTTTTTAATATTAAACACCTACGAACTATATAACATATTGTGTCAAGACATTTTTGACTAACTTTTCAATTGGTCTATTGTTTATGAACTTAACTTTCACACGCTAATTAGTGTGGTCTCTTTTCTCAATGCTTTATGAAGTTCAAATTATTTAAACAATGTAATAATTAAGCGAAGGTATTCAATTCATTACAGTTTGTGCCTGCCCGCGGAATGTGGAGAAAAATTAAAAGAATATAGTCGAAACATAATGAAGTGGATGGTCAATAATTTAATTGGAAACC